CAATGAGGAGACTCAGTTTTATATAGGAATAAGCCCCTGAAATGTCTATTAATGTTTTCATGTTCCTTAAGAAGAATGTAAAAAAAAAATAATAAAAGACAGATCAAAGACAAGACAGTAAGAAATAAACAATGAAACAGATAGATCTCGTGCATTATTTTTCTTAAACTGCGCAATTTTCAGGTAAATCTTACCTTCTTCCTCTTTCATTTTCTGTCAAGGGAATGAGATCATGTTTGAAAATACATCTAAAGAGGTGTATATGATCTTGTTACCTTTGGCTGTGTCCTGTTTTACCTGTTTCAATTGAACACGACATTTTTTTTGAAGTGGAATTCGCAATGTTAGGTCTGGATATTTCAGTGAATTTGTTAAATGTATTAATTACCTTTAACTTAAAACATATTAACTTTTCTTCTTCGCGGAAATTTTTTTTAATTTAAATACCGAAATAGATGATTGACAACGGAAGACTATCGTTTAAAATCACAACTGTTTATTAATTGTATCCATTATTTAGCTCACTCATGCATCAACCTTTTCGAAAGAACCATTGGGTCATCATAAAGTTATCATGGTATTTTGGATTAAGCAAATTCATTCAAATAAAGATCATGTTTTCTTTCAAAGATAGATGATTTATGAAATTGAAAGTATTAGCTAGTATCACTTAAAAAACAACCCAGACCTAAGTATGTGAAACCCTCAAGTATAAATTAAAAATGTGTTCAGTTGAAGTATGATAGCTCCTATTTCCCGGAAGTAGGATGGATCCACATTGTTTTAAACAGGTACATGTAGCTAAATGCACTTTATTGACAACATATCGGTGCACAGTCATGATTATTAACATGATCAGAAGTCTCTGACGACACTGTAGCTCTACTGGTTTGTACTTATAACTAAGGAAGATAAAAGTAGCACTTGGACTTGAAACTTTGCAACAGCAATAAATAGAATAATTATCATTGGTTTAGTCTCTTTTTGTGGCAAGATTTCTTGCAATCAGACTAAAACTGTAGGAGGAGTAGTCTTTTAAAAGAATTTTACAGAAATTTCGATTTGAGTAACCATGGCAACATCATTCAACAAATCAAAAAACAATGAAGACAGTTATGTATCTCAGTGTAGTCTGCTTGTGTGCCTAGTTATATTAAATCAGACCAAAACTGTAGGAGATGTATAGCGTTTTGAAAGTATTATAAGGAAATTTCTAATTTTAGTAACCATGGCAACACCATTCATCGAAATCAAAAACTGATATAAAGAATTATTTATCTTAGTGTAGTCTACTTGTGTGCCAAGTTATACTGAAATCAGACCAAAACTGTAGGAGGAGTAGCGTTCTGAAAGTATTTCACAGAAATTTCTATTTAAAAATCAAAAAGCGATACAAAAAATTATGTATCTTAGTGTAGTCTACTTGTGTGATAGTAGATATTAGTTATATTGAAATCAGACCAAAACTGTAGGAAGAGTAGCGTTTTGAAAGTATTTCCCAGAAATCTCTATTTTTAGTAACCGTGGCAACACCGTTCATTGAAATCAAAAACCGATGCACAGAATTACATGTATGTATCTTAGTGTAGTCTACTAATGTGCCAAGTTATATTGAAATCAGGACAAAACTGTAGGAGGAGTATCGTTTTGAAAATTTTTTTACAGACGGACGGACAGACAGACAGACGGACGGACGACGGGCACCTTACTATCGCATAAGCTCTTCTGTAGACCAGTAGAGCAAAAAACTAGATATAGATTGATACATTATAAAGTAACAAACATCAGATAAACAAACTACATGTACAAGTATTTACATATAATCCAGTGTAATCTTACTGAAGATAAAGCAATTTTTCAAGAAGCAACACGTCCTTCTAAGTTGAAATTGATGTATTCTTAGGATTCACGATGTCTCTGGTGAGATCATCAATAGTAAATGCAGTGTATGTTCGCATTAATTAAACATATCATTATACATCCTTCTGTTGTCATAATATTTATAATAATACAGTAAGAGCGGTTTTTCTTCAATACGGTCTCATGCGAAGGTCCGGCCTCCACGTACATCGCGACTCTAGAGCAAACGCTCTGAGCAAACGCTCTAACCGCTGCTCCACGCGGGCCACTGTTACAAAGGTATGAACAATCTCGTTTAAAGTCGTCATTTTACAAATTCTATAGATGTACAATGACCTTGTTTGCAATTAAGACCTTTTGTTAGGTCGAATGTTGACTGGCGTATATAATACAAATTGCTGGGCCATTATTAGCTCACCTGGGCCGAGGGATCAAGTGAGCTATTCTGATCAAAGAGTGTCCGTCGTCCGTCTGTCGTCTGTAAACTTTTCACATTTTTTACTTCTTCTCAAGAGCCCATGGGCAAATTTCAACCAAACTTGTCACAAAGCATCCTTAGGGGTTTTAAGTTTGTTCACAGGAATTACCACGCCCTCTTTCAAGGGGAGATAATTAAAAATTCGTGAAAATTTGGTTACATCTTTTAAAAATCTTCTTCTCAAGAACAACTGGGTAAGAAAAGATGAAACTTATGTAAAAGCTACATTACATACTCTAGATTTAAGTTTGTTCAAATCATAACCCCCGGAGTAGGGCGGGGTCAAAAGAGAGGGGGTCGAAGTTTTACATAGGAATATATAGAAAATGTCTTTAAAAGTCTTCTTGAGAACAGCAAAGCCATGATTAGTCATATTATTCTAGAAGTATCCTCAGATACATGTAGTGTAGATTTAAGTTTGTTCCAACCATAACCCCTGGGTGTAGGGCAGGGCCACAACAGGGGGTCAAAGATTACATGTACCATAGGAATATATAGGAAGTATCTTTAAAAATCTTCTCAAGAACAGCTAAGCCATTATTAGTCATATTAATAAAGAAGTATCCTCAGGTAGTGTAAATTCAAGTTTGTTCAAATCATGATCTATAGGGGTTGGGCGCAGACACAACAGGGGGACCAAAGTTTTACATAGGAATTATATAGGAAATTTTTTTTTAAAATTTTCTTCTCAAGAACAGCTAAGCCATTATTAGTCATATTTATACAGAAGCAACCTTGGGTATTGTAAAATCAAGTTTTTGTTTTTTTTTTTCAAATTATGACCCCCAGGGGTAAGAGGAGTACAACAGAGGGTCAAAGTTTTACATAAGAATATATAGGAATATAAATCTTCTGTTCAATAACAGCAAACCATGATTAGTCATATTATTATAGAAACATCCTCACGTAGTGTAGATTCAAATTTGTTCAATTTAGAGTGGGTAGGGTGGGGCCACAATGAGCGATCAGAGTTTTACATAGGAATACATAAGGAAAAATCTTTAAAATTATCCTGCTCAAGAACAGCAAAGTCATGATTAGTAATACTGATATAGAAGCATCCTTAGGTAGCGTAAATTCAAGCCCCCCCCCCCCCCCCCCCCCGTAAACTTTTCAATATTGAACTGATTTCTGTTTTTTTCCTAGCCAAAATGCTCAGTGAGCGATGTGGCCGATGGGGCTCTTTTTTTTCCTTTTATTTATTTTTTTTTTAATTACTTCACTCTGTTTTCCCGAACAAGAAAAAGGGTCATGGCAGTTGTGACCGATCGGCAGGGGATGCTCCTGATCCCACTTCTGATCTTTTCAGAGGTCTCTGAATGCTCTGATTTAAAATACAGTTTGTATTGTTTAATTGGAATTCGGAGCATGTTTACTCTTTGTTAGTTGACATTTCATCCATCTCTTTTTTTTTTTTTTTTTTGAAAGACATATCTTAAAATAAATAAATGCATTTTGCATTCAATTTGATTCACAATTTTGATGTAAAAAGCTATTTTCCTCAATTCTATTCTCTTTTATTTTTAAAATGTTCGTCTGATAGTTTTTTTTTTTTTTTTTTTTTTTTTTTCAAAATATTTTCTACTTACAAGTTCTTTATATATGCTTTAATTAAAGAGACATGTATTGCTATATGATCATTAAAATCATGTTTTTATCCCTTTTTTTTTTTTTTTTTTTTTTTTTAAATTTTTTAGTCTCGTATAGAACATGTACTTAAAATTGTATATTCAAATAAAAAGGACAAACTTAAGAAAAGACAGCAAGATAGCAAACTTAAATACCTTTCTATGTACCCCTAATACGCCTTTGATAAGTATTTTTCTCTCTCTCTCTCTCTTTAAGGAAAAAACGATTTTTTTTTTTTTGCCTTAGGTACTAATTAAACCGAAATCAATTCCTACGTGTAGTAACATGTATAATTACTTGTTTGGCTTACAAGATTTTCATTCGAATACCTGGGAGATGTTTTTATCCTGTTATTACGTAGAACTAGCCCTCTTAGTAAGGATACATAAGAAGTGAATATAGTTGTTTTATGACACCCAAACCCAATAAACGGCACGAAGAACGCGGTCGGGGCTAATGCTCTGGTCTCAACATTCCTAAGGGGACGACCATTTGAATCGGGAGAAAGGGGGGGGGGGGAGTCAGAGTATTTGTTTCTATGTCAGTCAAGATGATCAAGGATAGATTATTTATCTTCTTTTTCACTAAAATAAGTTTGAAAATTGGAAAAACACCCCCCCCAAAAAAAAAATCGTCCACGGGGGGAGGGAGTGGGGTTAGCACCAGTCAAGGAAGATTATTTTACTTTCTTGTCAGTCGGGGACAGATTAAGCCGATTAATTTTCAACATTTTTAAGGACAGCTAATTATTTCCAAAATGCCCCCCTTTTCAAAATCACATGAATCTCCCCTTTTCAGAAGAGAAACATAGATGGCTTTAGCTATCATCCCTGTGCGATTTGTCATATGAAACGCCACTGAGACAATATATTTTCCCTACACAAATCCAATCCCTCCCACCAATAAAACTCTCCGAAGGGTTTTTCCCCAACCTTGACCTTGGACTATCCGGTTGTCATTCTTTGTACATAATTATTTACCTATATCTCGTGCTTGTTCGTCGCTAATGTTCAGCTTGTAAATTCCTAAGTAGGTTTATTTGAGTGTTAAAACAGTTTAATTCGCCACTTCAAGTAGAATGTACCTGTAACAGCATCGATCTACACATTGCATAAACAGCTACTTTCGATTTCAGGTTGCGTACGGCGCGGCTGTATCTGACAGGTAAGATAAATTATAATTTTGGGAAGATTAAGTTCTTACTTTTAACAATTAGTAGCTACATATAAGTAAGGACAAGCATGCCATATATGGTTGTGTAGATAAATTATCGTAGAAGACAAATTGCATACATGCCAACTTTTTAAAATCTCCTTGGGGGAGATTGCGCGTAACGACATTTTTCAAAGGTCTAAATTCGCGACATTTTGTCGTGAAAATAAGTATTTTTTTTTTTTTTTTAAATATTAGTCTAATACCTTGTATCATATATTATCACTACTTCAAAAAGTTTTTTTTTTTCTCTTTCAACTTCAACAAAAACACACTATTATTTGGAATTTAAAAAAGGAAAATTTTAATCAAAATTATTTAATATGTTAATATAAAGATCAACATTACCCCCCTGCCCTATGCAATGTCATACACATACAGATTATTACATGGATAGGGATGTTAAACTTAATTACAAATAAGCTAGAGCAAGTTACTAAGAGTTCATGCAGTAACTGTCTTTGTCTGTTGGTAAACTACACATTTTATAAAGCTACTAAGTCAAGACACACAATTTGTTTTTTTTTTAATCAAAGGGAATACTAAGAAGAAGTCACTTTTAATGTTTTTCATACAAAGTCTGTAAAAGGCCTTCATTACTTTTTGTGAACCACTCCTGGAATTCTGCTAAAAAACTAACGGTTTGTACTTGCAGACGCATCTTTTCAAATTTGATTTTGGCTGTGTCTTTTCCATGATCAATGACGTAGTTGTAATTATAGTGCGCAATGCCGTATTTCCTAAACTTGAAAACCTTTTATTATAATTAACAGCTTATACGTATATTGTCAAATTTTGCTGTGAAGTGTGAACTCGTCACAAGTTTGTATCCTGTCGTGTGTATTTCTAAAATTTCCACATCTGGCATGATTGTCTAGGTTAATATACACTGTTAATGAGAATCGGGAGCAATTAAAACCACAGTAATGACTGGTAGCACAGTTGACACCTTGTTGATTACCTGTTATCAGCGGCAATAAACAGATATCTACCGATAAACATTCGAACTGCCATCTTTTTTCACACGGAAATGCGGTATTATTCAAAGCGGATCGGTAAAAAATCCGGAATTCCTAAAAATCGGTAGAAATGGGATTAAAAAATATATCGGTAGACAAGCGGTAGATGGGGTTAAAAATCGGTAGACTCCCGAAAAAATCGGGAAAGTTGGCATGTATGAAATTGGTAATAAACAGTTTGCCAATACACAATATTTTAGTATAGAATGTGAGGCTATACATAATTATAAATCACACATCATTTGTATAATAATCATGTAATGCAATCATTTCTAGATGCAAGACATTTTTTAATAAGTGAGTGTGTTATTTTCAGTATTTCTGGACAATGGCTATTAAAGCAAAGCTTAACTTTTTGAGTATAAGACATATTTGATATTTTTCCTTGAAAAAAATTCATCAAGTTCCTTTCAAAAGTTAACCTATGATTATTGTATTTATGGCAGCTGAATAGAAAATGAAATTCATCTTCAACCCGTACGAAAGTTCGAGGCGGAATAGGCACGGCTTGGGCACGGCTAAGGCACGGAACCCGCACGGGTTTTTAAAAAGCCGTACGGGTTCTGCATGTCCAAGACACGGACACGGATTCTGAGTCTGAAAGTGAGGAATCCTCGCTCACAGAAACCCGTGTGGAGGCACGGAATCCGTGTCCCAGAGAGACGGTTTTTAACTCAAGCGGGTTTTGCTTCAAACTATTTATTTATATCTCACGGCTTTTTACTGAGCATGCTCAATCATAACTTCCTTTCTTTGAATATTAAATTGGAGGGATTCATGGTCATGAGCTAAGAATGTGTCTTTTTTACTATAGTTAAAGGATATTTAACTAATAGATGTCAGTTGGAATTGTATTTATGTCAGTCTGGAATGATTTCATCACTTTTGAACTAAATGCAGTAAGTGTAATATAGAATAAATAAGTCATTTTCAATTTTCATGAAATTTCTGTATTGCAATGTTGACAATGAACCTGATGAGTCTTTGTTTATTTGAATGACTTTAGTTGGACTTTCACTAATTAATCCCCAGACATTTTATGTGTCATTTATGATTACTATGTTACAGAAAGTTTTATTTAAATTAAATTCTTTCTCAGATTGTGCAAACTTAGATTAGATAAAATTACAATTGAATTGTACACTATCATTAAATTCTTAATTAAAAGCTAGCATGGATTGTCACTGATAAAGTAAATTTTTAACACTTAACAGAAAGTAAATGGACACATTCATATAAGATTTTTAACTTTTAAAATTCTAAAACTAAGCAAAAAATAATGTAAAGCATTGCGAAGTTTGGTTTCAGTCACCATTTTGGCATCTACAGTTGCATCAGGAGATTCTCTAAAGGCCCTGACCTAGATCTAAACAAATGCACAGATCCAGTGACTCCATATATGGTATGTCACACGGCTTCTTTGACACGGGTTTCCAAAAATCCGTGTCTCCATATATGGAAAAGGACACGGGTTTCAGACACGGGTTTACAGAATCTGTGAGTCCATATATGGAAACTAGCATGGCTTTCTGACACGGGTTTTGTAAAACCGTGTGATCTAATTTAAATAATTCGGCCAATATCCCGTGCCGTGTCCGTGCCTCGACCACTTTTAGGCACGGCTTTCCATACATCTTTTACATAGGAGCAGGAATGCTAAAAGCACGGGTTTCTGGAAACGGAATCCGTGCCTGAGCCGTGTCTAAGCCGCCCGGACTGTTTCGTACGGGTATCTCCCCTTTTATCTTTTATCTTTTATCTGTGGGTATAGACAAATGTCTCCCTTTTTCTATGGCAAGGTTATGTGCACTAAGTCTCAACCTGCTAATAATTGATCTCTCTGTTTTCTTTTTTAATATATCAGTGTATCCACAGCGTTTGAAATTATTAAAAACAACTTGATAAAATTTTAGTTTTGATGAATTATGAATCTTTGCATATTCCTCTTGTAAGCATTGATCTGATATTCTTTGTTTTATGTTTCTCAGAAGTGACATAATGTGTTTTGTCTCTCTATTTGTTATTTTCATGATTAATAAGGGCAGGTGATCTGTTTTGTTTTTTGTTTTTGTTTTTTTCAACAGACCTGATGTTGGGTCTTGTCTGGAAATATTTGGTAGATTATGGCTTAATTGACATATATATGTATGTATAATATGTGCACTGAACATAAGTACTGCCTTCTATCAGTAGTTTTTACTCAGTCATACTCCATATTCAAAAATACTCAGGAAACACTTCTGAATCAACTTGTATGTAATGTATCTAAATCATCACACTGTAGATAACAAAAACACTTAAACTCTGTCACTTTGTTGTAAATAAATTATATTCATACTCTGCAGAGCCAGGAACATGAAAACTTGGTAAGGTATAAAGTTCATTGTCAAGTGAGTTAAATAAAATCACAATATTTAAGTTCTCTGTTGTTTTCAGGTATACACTGTTAACAGATGCGATGTGTGCCATCAATGTATCCAAGTGTTTCCGTTACTTTTTCATGTACTCCCTTACGACCATTATAGTGATGTTGACCTACAGTATAGGTATGAAGGAGTGCCCAACACCATCCAAAGGTAATGTCAGATTTCCCTGAACATGCATTTTAATATGACATTTTCTCAACGTTAAATCTGTACATACATTTCTAAATGTTTTAACATATTCAGTTTCTAAATGTCATGAGTCTGAATTGTTTTAGGATTTTGGCATTAAGTATTATTGTGTTTAATGGTGGGACTCAGGACTTCAAGGTCACTTAGGCCTAAATTATTGTCACATCAGTAGAATGTGTTGTTCATGAATGTTCACAATTTTTCAAGCTATCTGCATGATCATGCTGAAATTATAATTCCAGTAATTTTGGAAACTTTTATGTTGAATTTCTAGATACCTGCCCTCTCCTAGCTAAAGGGATTGAATTCTTTGAATGTACTTAGAATACATTGTTGCACCATTAAAATATTTGTTGAAACTTAATTAACTGGTGTTTTTATAATTTACAGATATCTCAAATGATAAGAACAGTAAATTGTCATTGATAAATCGATCAGTTTATCAATGCTGATTATTTTTGTAGATTATCTACATTTCACAAAGAATTTGACAGACCTAGACAATGTCCGGGCCAGACAATATATTTCCCTAGACTGCTGCGCCTCAGGCTTCAATACCATCACATGGTTCTTCAAGAATAACAATACCCAAAACTCCTGGATTCCTTTTCCTTTTCTATATCAGGAATGTGATGTTACAACATATTGTCCACAATTATCACCAAGAAACCAGACTCTGCACATTTTAAAGGCAACAGTAAACTTTGATGAAGGAACCTATCTTTGTGTTGCTCATAATTCAAGCACGGGGAAAAATATTTCACACAAGGAGGACTTATTTGTGTATGGTAAGTTTTTGTCATATATCACTCCAAAAAGTCAAAATTTAACAATTTATTTAATTATAATAAATGTGGAGTTGTTCTAACTGAGCAACTCACCATGCAGTCATTTATTATCAGCAAAGAAAGCATCTTTCTAAATTTCCCAATAATAAAATAATTATGAGAAAAATCCATTTTTATGGCACCTGAGTTTTTAAAATGCTGTACAAATATGATTAATCATGTTTATATAATTTATATGAGATTTGAGTTGTCAATTTTAGCATAAAGATGGCCAAATACTCCTCCATGATTAAATTTGTAATTGGACTTTGGAAACTTGCTTTCATTTATTGAATTTCACATTTATTATTATCATTATTTTTTACTAACAGATCATGTTTTGTCAACACTGCCTTTCATTTTGCAGCTGCATGGACATTGCAGTTTCCTTCCTCCTTTTTTCTCAAACTAATCTGGGGATCCTATATATAATTATGTGTATAAATTAGACAAATGAACACTAGTTTATCCTTTGCAGATTGTATTGACAGAGAGAAACCTCTGTCCATTCCACCCCACAATGTCCTTACAAATACTGGACAGAATGCCACATTCCAGTGTGCTGCAGATTTTGGCTGCAAACCTAGCTACGAGAGAGATGTCAACTGGTATATAGGAATCACCAATGTACATGATATTGATAAGCGTTATATTGTTACCAAGGACAACAGGTAAGGGTTACCAAAATTATACATTTCCTTATTTTAAAAATGCTTTTTTATTGTGTTTCATCTGTTGTTAGTAATTCTTACATTTCTGCATCCACTGGGTCTTAATTTATCAAAATTATAATTTATATTAAGGTCAGACGACACGTTCCTCAATAATATATAATTTTTCCTAGTAAGAATGTGTCATTGAAGTATTGCTACATACTTTAACATGTTTCCTCACAAAAAATTGAGGTACCTTACCAAGCATTTGTGCAAGATACCAGATGATGGTGTTTTCTGTATAATCCTATTGGGAATCTCCTGAAAAATCAATATCACAATTTTTGATGTAATTATTTATTAAGATATTTTGAAAACAGTTTAAAAATCACAAGATAATGATCATGATGATAATTATGAATATTATTCCATATATTATTAAAAGATACATAACAGATATTCGAGGAATGCGTTGTTTTACCTTAATTGATAATACATTTTATTAATATAGAAGCATAGAGAGGGTACGTAGTGTTAATGAAAATTGTATAGCTCTACCAAGAGCAGGGATTTTCAATACCACAAACATCAAAACTTGTATTCAAGTATAATCAATCAAGTTAGAGTGGTTTGTTCATGAAACCACAATGGAAGTCCAGAGGTTAGGTCTACATACAAATCCTATTGAAATTCTGTACTTGCTCATACATGATAAAGAAACTAAACTATATACAGCTGTATTTAAATATAAAATAAATAAATTATATAGTCACGTTTTATACATGCATACATGTATATATTCCAACAATTCTGTTTCAATAGCTGTTTTATGCTGATCAATTTTATACAATATCTAATATCTCAGTCAAACAAATAATTACAATAACTTGTATATTTTCAGAGATTTCCGTTCAGTTGTGCAAGCAAACCTGACAATTTTGAATGTACAACAAAAAGACTTTGACCAGACATTTTCATGTTGGATTGAGTCTGATTATGACATAGCAACACCAAAATTTTTTGTCAAACTACAGAAAAAATGTATGTGTGCCTATGGATGAAACAATTTATAGCAACTGTTTGCAATTGAATTACGTACAGCACTACAACATATTTTATTACTTTTATTAAAAGTAGAAAATTTAAGAGATAATTGTTATTAGTGATGTAAATTTTGAAATTTAAAGTCTACAACATGAAATTTTCCGAGTTCTTGGCTCACTCAGTACCTTTAATTATTTGTTATTTACAGATGTACAGGTTAATGTTACAATTATCCTAGTTATTGTGTTACCGTGCCTTTTTTTCATTGTGATTATAACCACAAGTACAAAGGTCGTACACCATGCTTATGGGCCGCAGATAAAGTTCTACTTCAGATCACGTGGTCTGTTGGGAGGTCTGCCAAAAATGGGTAAGTCGTGTATCCTTATAGCTTCTGATACAACATTCAATTAATGCAGGGACATGTGTATGTATAGTTTATGGTTGATGTAATAAAGTTAACTGTGAAAATTTATGTATAATTATATGTATATACTTACATGTAAATATGCAGGTCAGTGAGCTGGATTTTTTTTTTTTAATAAAACTTGTATAAATAGGCAAAATGTGTTTATTTAAATTCACAAGCTACATATTTTATGTTTATTTTAGTATACTTTTATAACAAAATGTGATCAAGACTCAAAAATATTATTCCTGCTAAAATAAGTAAAAGTACCATTTATAATACGTATGACGATCATTGTAACTAACAGTGCATTTTATGCAAAGTTTTGAATACTCTAATATAGTACATGTACACATGCAAAATTTATTGTATAAATCTAGGGAAAAAGCATGATTTGCACGCCTTGATAGTCCATGATGACACCAGGAAAGAGGACAATATTATTGCTGAGGAAATCACAAGTAGACTGAGAAAAGAGGGATATAAAATAACTCAAATAGAGGGTTATGGTGAAGGTATGTTCTTGTTAAAGATCTCATAATGAAATCTATGTATGTACTGTAAACAGGCTTATTTTCGCCCCATGTTATTTTCGCCCTTTCGCACTTGCAAACAATTTTGCCCTGTTTTAAATTTGCCCAGTTACTGTTCTGTTTGAGGAAATTATACTGTTTACTTTTAATTCGCCCCATTTTAAATTCGCCCACCTGTGATTAGGGCGAAAGGGGCGAAAATAAATGGGGATGAAAATTTCCCTGTATACAGTGTTTAAAGGGACTGAATCTAGAGGAGGTTAATGTCACCTCATTTGAATTTGCCCTTGAGTTTCCTTTTTAAAAAAAAAATTGGGGTATGGTAACATTGATAAATCTTCTACAAATCATAAGTCAAATTGATTTGAAATTATGTTAACAATCCTATCCAAAATTAATTTATCTGACCCATATTAGGACCTAATTTTCTTACCTTAAATATCCAACCTGTATTAAATACTCAGATATTAATTCAAAGGATTTACCAAGAGAAGTTTTCAAAATTATAATTACCTAAGCTGTAATTATAATTAATGAAGATTGCGTTGAGGTCTATGGGGACAAGCAAGTTTTTGAAAATAATAATTTAAATACTAAGGATATCAATAAATGCTGTGGTGGAAAGATTTTTTTTTTAATTATTAGGAATAGAAAAATGATTGAACAGATAGATTTTTTTAAAATTGATTTTTATTGATTAAAAGCAAAGGGGGATGACTGTTCAAGGACAGGACAAGGTCAAAAATTAGGACACATTCCGCTCTTACTTACTGATACTAAAACATGAAGTTTATGTCTAGATATACTGAGTAATCAGCCAGTATATATCTGTTATGCATTCAGATTCATTGAATCTGAGGTTATTATGATGATACTTTTATATAAGAATATCATATAAGAACCCCTACCAAATCATGGGGGATATAGAGGAATAAATATATGAATTACACTCCATCTATATCTGAATTGTAAAACTTGTGGGAAGAAGTATTGAAAGTCCCTAATCAATAAGATATCATTTTTGACAAGATATTTATAATGTACTTCACATCTTAGCTACGAATGATCATTTGGTCAGGACAATGGTGCAGACTGCAATTGTTTGTAAAAGATTCTTTCCAGTCACAGCTTAATATTTACATCCACTGAATATTATTTCCTTTATTTCTTATAAAAAAACATTGCCGTTAATCAGCCAGTAAACAGCACTAAGCAAGCCACCTGTATAGATTTCTTAAGCAACGACTGTTCCATCAGTTATGCATACAGTTACATACACATCTATATAATACAATATTTAACATATTTAATTTACTTTGTTTTTTTTTTATAAAGATATAAATATAAACAATAAAATGTCTTTCTTTGTTTGTTAGTACGAGAATTAACGTCGCAGCTATTGCAGAAAAAAATTCACATAACCTGCGTAAGCGGGTTATGTATTTTTTCTGTCACAGCTGCGACATTAATTCCCGTACTAAGAACCAAAGAAAGCATTTTATTGTTTGACTTATACAGGAATGGTAGAAAACGCATGTTTAGCAATAAAAAAGTTTGTTAGCAGAATTCATGCATGTCAAGATTATAAAAGGTCAAGGTCACTTCATAATGAGGAATTATATTAAACAAGGTCATGTTCACCTGGATCACTTCACTTTTAGATTTTTTAAAGGGTTTGCTTTTCAATGTTCACCCTGTTAGATGCTTATTCATGTACAGTAAAAACTGTCTAATCTGACACCAGCAATCCTTTTGACCTCTGTTCTAATTCCCAATTTACTATACATATATTAAATGCCCACATTTTTTACTCTTGTAACCTGATACCCTGTCTATTCTGACAAAAATATTCCAGTGCATGTTTTATTAGACATATTTCATGTTCACTACAACATATCAGCAATTTTGTCAATGAGATATTTTCTGTATAATTATCAATATTATCTTTCAGGAGTATTTTCACATTTTGGCTGCAATTTGGAGCGTTCAGCTGCAGTAATTATCATCGACATGGAAAATAATTCAGAGGACTCTAACAAATTTCGAGTGTTTATCGAGTCCAGTCTGAGAAATATGACCGAGTCTCTGACTGGATTTACTATAATCCAGCAAAGAGGACTAGAGAATTCACTAATGGATTCTGTAGAATACAAGGGCCTTAAAAGATTACAATGGCCGGGAGAGAACTGTACCGAGATACAGAAGCAGAGGTTTTTTAAACGGCTTCAGCTGCGTTTACCAAAACCTTTCTGTCACGGTAAACTGGAGGAAACTACACCATTACTTACTCCCCCGATATAGAGAAGCACTCTGCTTAAAAATCATACAATTATAATGTACATTTCATATTGTCTTATAGAGAAAATCTGAATAACGTAAAAAGTTTCTGTTTTTTTAATTTTTTATCTCCATTACAGTCTTCACTGAGCTCTTTTAGGTAGAGCAGGCTGCCCAGAATATTTTGAATATTTTAAAAGAGAAAAGGTTTTTGTTCACCATCATATGGAACACACACTGTCAAACTTCAATTTGGGCAAAAGTATATTTTTTAAGCATTTGCCGAGTATCTTTGAGATTGTAAAATTCCTTATCCCACAATACCAGGTGTTGGGGAGAATTTAAATGAAGGATTATAGCTAGTTCTCAAATGTCTGACTTAATTAATCATGTGCACAATTGAGTTTCAGAAACTTTTTGATGTGTTGTTGATTTGTTTACATGAAAATTTATATATTATTAATATATATATTTTAATATATTCAATGAATTTTACTCTCTTTCATTTTCTACAATGACTGAATGTGAAACTTTTTAATGTATAATAATTGTTGATTTGTTTTTTTACATGAAAATGCAGGTATTATTAATTTATATCTTTTAATATATTCAATAAATTTCATTCTCTTTCATATACTTTGACTGAATGTTAATTGAATTTCATAAATAATAAAGTACATGTACACAACTGTCAATGGATTTCATGAATAGTTGTGTAAAATTCTGCATGTATTGATAAAAGCTATGAACTTTCCCACCACTCTTTTAAAATTAAAGGTCAGGTTTAGTCTAAATCAAAGGCTTAAAAGAGGCAAAAGTCATGGAATATCCAAAATATGTGAATACAGTTTTCTAAAATGATATTAATATCCAAAATACAGTTTTCTAAAATGATATTTAACAACAGATTCAGGAAATAAATATGAATCATATGGACTTGCATACATTGTATAAGCATATGACAGAGATCACGTGGAGAGTTTGGGTGCTAAATGTTTGTTTGTCAAAGGACCTACAGTCTGGCAATGTAACAATTAATATCCACTAATCCTGTTTAGGTAGCTTAAGAACATGTTTATTGTATCAGTACCCTTCTCTTTAAAATTTTCACCAGAAATCACTGTGGTTACCAGCAGATCAAGTACGTGTCTAAATTTTCAAGGCATGAACAAATGAAGACCCCATAAACAAACAAACAATAAAGCCCACTTTTCCCTTTATCAGGATGAAAGGTTTCTTGTAATTGTGAAATGTCAAGAGAGATAACTATAACAACCGATATGGAATAAATTATTAGCGATATTAAATTTTAGAGATCTTAAAACTTTCACTAATAATGCCAAAATTGAATCCTCGCTAAAAATTCTGCTTATACGGTATATATGCATCTTTACAACAAACATGAGTAATTGAGTAATATAAATTTACAAAGGTCACCTTGGGAATGTTATCTATAGGCCTAAGTAAAGCAGTCTCATCATACCCAATGAATGTTCAGCAAGAACAATTTGTTACATGGACGTTTATCATCACAGGCCTTTCATTAAACATTAAAATACATTTCACTTACAGCATCTTACACGTAGCAGTATTTCTAGATGAATAGTACAAGTTTGGTCAGCTTTTTTAATAACTGTGCATTGTTACATTCCAATGGGCCTGCTCCAAAAACCTTTAATCTTTTCAATCATTCGGGAAATGTGGGATAGATCCAGAGTGTGAAGCAATCTGGTAGTTTACATCCCTAGATACATCATCCAAGAGGAATAGACCTGCTCCGTAAACTTTAACCTATAGTCACTCATTCAGAAAATAGGTCCGATGCAGTACTCTTTTGAAAAAAAACTTAGACTTTCTGTTCTTTGATTAATGCAGAAGCTTGCATAGGCAACATCAGTTAAGGCATATTTGGCAATGAACATTCCCAGATGCTTCATTCATGTGACTTGGGTCAAGGTAAGGTTTTTGTTGCTTAGAAATGAAAACAGAATACTAGTACTACAGAATAAATTTTTATTTCAAAACTTGTATACATGTCAATGAAAGTAAAAAGAAAACTAGATGTATTTATGAAACACTGATGCCCCCATATGGTAGCTCATGGCCAAGGTTAAAGTTTTTCAAAAGCAGGTCAAATGTCAAGGTCATGAGGTCAAAAGCATTGGTGACAAAGAAGGTTTTGACACAAGGAATACACATGTGAAATATAAATGCCCTAGCATGCACCAACCATTCAAAAGTTATGGCCAAGTTTTCCAAAGGTACGTCAAACTCCATGTTCAAGGACATGATCAAGGTAAAAATTATAGGTATCCAAAGAAAAGGTCACAAGGAATACACTTCTGAAATATTGAAGTCCCTAAGCACCATATGTTCAAAAGTGTTGGCCCAAGTTTTTGTAGACAGACAGACAGACTAAAAGCTATATGCCTCCATATCTCCAATTATGGGAGCATAAAAAAATCACATTATAACAATCACATTATTTAAACATTATTTATCATGTAAAATTCTTTTGTAGATTCACCCCTGGGAATCAATTATATAATACTGCCATTATGTATAACTCAAAATAAACATATTATCTTCAACACTGGGTATATTGACAAAGTAATGTTTTAAGAACACAACCGCCAGAAGAACATGAGGAAATATACATGTACATGTGACTTCATGGAATAAATATCATATACATATCAAACATACTGATTGTCATTTTTAAAAATATGGTTATTAGGTTCATGAAATAAAAACAAACAAACATCTGCTAAACCGAACAAGTGATGTTATTCAGAATTTTAATATTCAGCAACAAAAAATGCATCTAGCTTGCCTGTGCATTTCCTTACAAGCAATATTCACATAAACAGATAAATGGAAGACATTATAATTTTTTTTTTAAATACATGCAGCTCTCTCAAATTTCTTCCCAAAGGAAATAAAACGTACTCTTTAATAAGCACTATTACTATCAAATACGTAGGACAAGCCAAAGAAGAAAACCTCTATCTTAGTACATGTAATATGATTCCTAACAAGCTCTAGATTCTGCTTATATAACAACAAGATACAGTGTAAACGGTTTCTCACTGCTAAAGAATACTAAGTTTAAGGACAACCACATTAAAAACATTTTTAGAAGAAAATACCAACATAATATGCCAATGTAAATACCGGGACGCACACTCAGAAGTTGACAACTTGTCCTGTTTGGTAGGAGTCCACTGCTTTGTCTATGATCTGGGACACCATTAAGCATTCCTCTTTTGTTATAAGAGGTTTAACTTCACCTAAAAATATTCAACAGCACCTTCATTGATCTATGCATTTTATTCATAAAATTCAGAGTTCTCATAAACATTCATAAACATATATATAATAAATATGCCATTATATATATTAATAGTACACATTTGTCAATTTTAAGGTTCAATCATGCCCGTGTGGCGCAGTGGTTAGAGCGTTCGCTCTACAGTCGCGGGATAAGGAGTTGATCCTTACGTTGCGGGTTCAAATCCCACTGTGGGACGTGGAGACCGGTCCTTCAGATAAGACCGTATAAACCGAGGTCCCGTGTCACAGTAGGTGCTGGCACAAGAAAGATCCCTCACTGCTCAATGGCCCTGAGTGCCAAGTATAGGTCAAAATTTGTAGCTCTCCACCGGCAAGTGGTGGCGTCTCCATCTGAGTGAAAAATTCTTGAGAGGGACGTTAAACAAACAAACATACATGAGCTATGGTAGATTTAAAAGTCTCTTAAAACTTTCAATATAGATATTCAATTTCTTTGAAATTGTATTTTAGGAACAAAATGTAAATTTCATTCATTTCCCAAATTATAACCAAATCAGTACATGTACTATGAGACGCATGCAATGGTCCCAATTAAAGCTCAAGAAGTTCTTTAAATATGAAGAATCCCCCTCCAACCCAATGACCTGGAGATTAAAATTTTGTCTATTAAACATGTAATTGGTTTTCCCATGGAAAGGAAACTAGAAGGCATTACCAGCCATCGGTTTCCTATGATCATCTGAGAATTTTTTTCAATTACAGTAAAACACGTTGCTTATAGTGAAGTGTCAAGGATCAAGAACAATTTTTATTCATTGTAAATGCAATTAGTTATGTCTGATAAATTTATAATGAGGTATTAAACCACAGAGAATGAAAATTACTTAGCTGTAAGAGTGAATTCATTATAAGCATGTTTGCTGTAAGCCTTTTTTACTGTATTGTTGAAATTACCTGCAAGACAACTATAGAAATGGGACACGGCAGTTGCAAAAGCTTTCTCAAATCTCTGAGGGAAGGAGTAGTGAAGCGGGGGCATATTTGAGCCTTCTAAATAATCCACACAGAAAGAGGACCTCCGAGGATTGTCTGCCACTGCCATACCCTTTGTTCCAAATAACTACAAAATGAAATTTATAAATAATCTCTGCAAATGGTTGACATGTACATTGAAACATACTTATTAGTGAATACATATTAGCCAAAATAAAAAAAAAACTTGTGCTTGAAATGAATATGACACATTAGTATGTCAATGAAGACTTCTCAGCTGTTCCTGGTAATTCAATTTAAATGTGTTTTGTTGAATATATTGTGTTTGAATTATACTTTTTTCATAATAAAGCAAATAGTAAATACATGTAGATATATAATATGACAATCCTTGATGTACAAAATTAATTCCTGTGCGCATATCAAGCAACAGCTCCATGTTTTTCACTTTAAAGCAATTACTTCCTAAGGTATTTCATTTCTATATCAAACCGTTGAATGTTATAGAGTCATAATGACAAAAATACTGTACAATTATGGACTCTTTCGATGGTGAATATGGTTTGTTATTCACCAGAAAAATATCAATAATGACCGAGGCGAAGCCGAGGTCAATATTGATATTTTTCTGGTGAATAACAAACCATATTCACGACTGAAAGAGTCCATAATTGTTTTTTATATAGTCCGGATTTGAATGAATAAGACATTGAAGGCTACATGATGATACCACTTTCATTTACAAACTTCTTCTGTCGTGGAAAACTAAAAAAAAAAAATGTCCAGATTACATGTGCTTCCGTGTTTTCCTTTTGCTGTTTGTAAGAAATCGAAATGTTTAGCAAATAATCCTGCGATAGGCTTGGTTAATGTTTTTCCTGCTCTGCAGATACACAGCTGGCTCCGGCCGTTGCAACCGTTGTTTACAGCGTTGTTTGAGGTGTTGCATACATGCCAACTTTTGAAAATTCCCATGGGGGATTTTGCGCGTGACAACAATTTTCAAAGCTTTAAATTCGCGACATTTTGTCGTGAAAATAAAATGTTTATCCCCTTTTTTTAAAATTTATAATATCAATATCACTTGTTAATACAATTTAAGAATAAATAATACAAACAAATTTTTTCCTTCCAAAATTCAAATATCTTTTGCTTAATTAGGTACCTCTCTCACTAAAGAAGTGATATCTGTTTGAAAAAGACACAGAATTTGGTGAAAAATGTGAAAACATAAAACTTTCAGTTCAAATAATTTTTTTTGCAAAGTTTTAGAAATATATAAGATTTTGTTACTGTACAGTTTCTGGGAAACATTTGTAAAATTCTATATTTACATTTTACACAATTAGAATTTCCTAATTAGACATTAAATTGAAAGAAATATTGAAAAATTGCAATGCATTGTGTGTGTGAGGGTGTGTGTGCGCGTGAGAGAGAGAGAGAGAGATAAGAAAATTTGTTTGTGGATGTACTTTAAACAGAAGTGACATTTTATTTCCTATAAATAACTAGACATCATGATGATTAATTACCGGTATTTCACACACACAAAACAATTTGAAGAAATAAATTTACTCTTGAGATAATAAATTATCTAAAACAAGGATACCCCCTATCCCAAACAAAAATTAAAATTGTTATAATCATGATGAACTTTTGCATAACCTTGGCAGTACGTGTTGTGTGATATTACATGGGGGGGGGGGGTTCAGTGTACTTGAGGTATAAGACTTTGTTGTTTCATCTAAATTATTTTCATCTTATTTTAACAGGTAAACTTTACAATATTTTTATTACAAGCAGATAAAATCAGCAGCTATGCTTTGTTGTTTTCTACTTTCGTTTTTAAAAACGATCAACATGGATTAATTCCGATTTTGTTGTTAGTTAATCATATCACTGTATTGATTTTTTGTTTTTATTAAAATGATATTTAATTAACCCCTAAATCTATGTGTTTCACTATGCATACCCCTTCTTACTGAAAAGTTTAATCCCCTAACCGCCCCAGGCTATGTTACCTGTACCTGGACTGCTGTGTGCGTTCAAGCGAGAAGTGATTTCCTGTGGCTAATTAACACCTCTGCATGAGTTAAATAAACAAAGAGACTAATCTGTGTGCATTGAATAAACAAGTCTGATAGTCAAATCCCGATTGACAAAATATTTCGGAAGGGAAAATCGGAAATTTTAGGTTGAATTTTATCAAATCGGGATTTTAGGGCAATTTTGCTTTCCCGATCGGGAGAGCGGGATCAAAGGGTAAAATCGGGAGGATCCCGCCTAAATCGGGAAAGTTGGCATGTATGGTGTTGATTGTGACATCACAATGCTGCTGCACGTGCACCGACCCTCCGGTGAATATGGCTTAAAATCCGGTGAATATGCAGTGTTATGAACTGTTTGCGTTTGTATAGATTATATAGGGGATATAAATAGACTATATAATAATATAAATTATGCTGTTTCTTTACTGCATAAGGTACTGGGTCTTGGGTAGCACTTGGTGCCACCTCAATAAAATTCAACATTTCCTTTGGCCAGTACCTCTGCTCTGATGTCATAACCATATACACACTCTCTGAACACGTCTATGGTGGCAATCATCCCATTTTCAAACTTAACACAGATGACTCCAGCGTCGGGTTCCTTAATCTTCTGAAGAGTCTCATCTCTGATATGTGTCAGGACAAACACCGATTTTGGTTTAGAACACGATGTTAACCAGACCATCATGTCAACATCATGAACCGCCATGTCAGAAATCAGGTTACAACCAGTGCTGTCTAAATAGCAACAGATATTTACATTACCTGTAGGTAAAAGCACATCTTCCCTAACCAAGAGTTTTCAAACTCCACTCTGCTACCCATAACTGAGCAGAGCAGACCAAAAATCCTTGGCTAGTGAAGATGGTAAAGCATTGAACATGTACATGTATTGCACAACAATTACAAAAGATTGATAAAATATTTCTGAAAATATATGTATATTTATACCTTTAACAAGAGATAAAATGAGAGGTCTATGGGTGTCAATGCTCACCTTAACCAGCCCTTATTTTATTGAGAGATGAGAAAAGTTAAATCTGTGATATATGTACATTTACATGACAAGGAGAATCAAAGCTTTTAAAAGAATTTTTAATGAGGCCTCTTGATAACTTCATTTGGCACAATATGAACATTTAAATTTTTAGCCTGCAAAGGTATAGTTTTTATGTTCCTGACAAGAATTCCTATGTATAAATGGGACTTGTATAGTGGCCCTGTTATTGTCTCAGGAATATGCACTGGTACCTATTTTACATGTGAATGTTTGCCCGATTTGGTTCAGTGGTTTTAAAGAAGAAAAGCTTCAAGTAACCACACCTTATTCTCATTTTTTTTGGGGGGGGGGGGTTTCTTTGAAAGAGGTTAGTGTCATTTTAAAAGGAAAGTGAATCCACTATGATATCCACTTATATTTATGCCATGTTTTTTTCCCCAAAGTTTGGCCCACAGGCTCTGAAGGAGAAGTCAAAGTTGGGGAGAAAAATACAGACAATTTCAACATGCTGTCATTTAAGCTCATGTCAGCCTTTGGCTCAGGTGAGATGAAAATCACACAGTAAGGACAAACTGCTAAGTGCTAACCAGCATTAGACAGGAATTCATAGGACGGTTTAGGGTTGTCTCGTGATGTAAGCCTTATCAACTGCAGCTCCCCCAAACGTCCACTCAGTGCCGTTTCTTTTAGTTCGGAAAAAGCTGAATCAAACCTCCTGAAAATGATAGAAAAAAATGGTGTAGTTTAAAATGCCATTTCCATTACTGATAAGTAAAAAAAATTATATAAGTCTATCACATTCCATTTTTTTTTTCCTTGTCAAATTCAGTCTAATGGAAATAAGAGGCAAGGGAAGTAAGTCTCTTAATTAACAGACATATTCAAAAAAAGCATTACTATATATGCAACAAAAAATTTGTGTGCCTATATCTGCAAGTCTTCATCAATATTTTTTTTAACAATGACTGTGTCTTCACTTGACAAGTGCTGCTAATATGCCTATTTATTGCTAGAATAGTTGATGTAAGAGGAACAAATCAGAATATGTGAAAAAAAAACTGACATAATGAATACAACAATTAGGTTTATTTCTCTAAATTTTGGAACAACCACTATTTAGTCGTGAAAGAGACACCTGGGATTGAAGCAACCCAAAACAGAACTAAAAGGTGACATCAAAACATTTGTCTCTAATAATTCAGCATACAATGTACATGCATATATCTAAAAAATGGTTATTGATCTCAAAATTAAATTTAAATTTACCTGAGTGGGAAAACACCTGCACTTATTTTAGATTTATTATAAAAAGTCCATTATGCTTAGGGTTATTCCATTTAAATTTACCTAAAAAGGAAAACACCACTTATTCTTAGACTAAATCATTTAAAACTCTAGTTTAAAACTCTAATTTAGACCTCATAAGAAGAGAATATGTACCAATTAACAGTCAGGCCCATGTCACCCAAGTATCAAGAATGGACATGAACAACTCAGCCTTGCCAGGAACTGAAACTATGGACTCACACAATAACTGAATTTACAATTGAGTGAGGACTCTATACTTCAGTATTCTATATCAGATTTAGGAAGCTTGTCTTCTTTATACTAGTAAAGATAAAAAGCATTTTTAAGAAATAAATAATCAACTTAGCCCAACCCTTGCACCTTAAACTCTGGGACAAAAATTTTACAAATTGGTAAGGGTCCATAGCTTACTGCCATTATACATACAGATTCCAGGAACATGATTTCACAGTAGTTGTTCCTTAGAAATCAAGGAAATAGTTTGCCTGCCAACAGTAAAACATGCTTATAGCAAACATGCTTATAATGAATTGATGCTTATAGCGAAGTGATTTTCATTCTCCTTGACTTTAAAATATATTGAACAATTAACAAACATAACAAATTACACTTATAATGAAGCAAAATTGTCCATCCCTGGCACTTTGTTATAAGGGTGTTTTACTCTATTGTCAAAGAGTAAATAAGATTTTTGTTAAGTATTTTCAATATACATGTATAACCAATTTTACTCCTTCCTTGGGAATGAAACCAGCTGGTCCCTAGGGACATGAATTTCATTTCATAGGGATAGCTGCCCAATCTAAATGTTCAAACAAGTAAGTCTGTTAGATCTCCAGAAATAAAAAAAAGTTTAATGCATTTGTAATTTTTTTTAGTCTCTCCCTAAGCCTGAACCATGGACCTGTGGGTGACATAAATTTCAGAATTTTGGTAGAGGGCTAGCAGGTTACTATAAAAGTAAACAGTTCAACTGCTAAATGTCCAAGAATTCAGAAAAATAAAATTAAATATTATTTAGGCCTAAAGAATTTTGATGGTTTGGACCTCTCCCCTCAGATCTGGACATTACCACCAGTATAATAAAAGAGATAAACAGCTAGCACAATACCACCTGTAATAAAAGAGATAAACAGCTAGCACAATACCACCTGTAATAAAAGAGAAAAACTGCTAGCAAAATTATCACTGATAATAAAAGAAATAAACAGCTAGCAAAAATACCACTAGTAATAAAAGAGATAAACAGCTAGCAAAAATACCACCAGTAATAAAAGAAATAAACAGCTAGCACAATACCACCAGTAGGGAAAGAGATAAGCTAGCAAATTACCACCAGTAATAAAAGAGAAAAACAGCCGGCAAAAATACCATGAGTAATAATGGAAATAAATAGCTAACAAAAATACCACCAGTAATAAAAGAGATAAACAGCTAGCACAATACAACCAGTAGGGAAAGAGATAAGCTAGCAAATTACCACCAGTAATAAAAGAGATAAAAAGCTAGCAAAATACCACCAGTAATAAAAGAGATAAAAAGCTAGCAAAATACCACCAGTAATAAAAGAGATAAACTTAAATGTAAAAATTAAGACACGAATGCTGTAATTTGTGATCACCATTTAGATAGCATGTTATTGTTCTTCTCCGCCATTGCAATAAACTTACATCTATACTATGCTTGGATAACAATACGAGCAACTTTGCACTTGTTATTCATGATAATAGTATATATCAGGATATTAAAATACAGTATAATATTTTGACACTCTATTTTGTCCCTACCCTTACCCTTAATTAAAACAAACTTGAGTCTACACTATACTTAAGAATGTGTGCAGATCAATATGACTCAGGCTCAGGTGAGCTAAGATGTGCTCCCTCCCAGCTTAGATTTATGTAGAACAGTCCTACTCACCCTCTAAAATAATGTTAACCCTATAATTATATTGTAACCTTTGAAATGATGTTAGTAGAACTGCCCCATTATTTTCTGCTGTTTCATAACAGGTCTTAATGTCTGTGTAGGATTCAGCAGTTGGCTTTTCCACCATAACTGATTTACCTGCCAAAAATATATCATTTAATTTTCACAAATCCACTTAAATTGTTAAAAATGTATTATTAGGTTGCATATTCAACAAACCTTCTTTTAGGCCATCGCAGATGAATTCTGCATGAGTTGATGTTGGACTAAATATAAAAATGGCATCTAATCTGGAAATACACAAGATATTAGATTATTTCAGTGGTTTCCAAATTAAATAACAACTTTCAAGATATGTACGAAGTACAGTGTACTTGAAAGTTTAACAAATGCAGTATCATTGTTACTCTATTTACGCTCCATGACAATATTTGTCATTTATAATAATTAGGGACATTTACTCTTAGTGTTGCCAAGACTATCATTATATAATACCAAAATTAGATGAATGGTTACTTTTACACAAATTTCAGAAACTTTTTTAGAATGCTTACAAAAATAGAGGCCAGATGTGAAATAGATCTACAAAGAACAAAATTCCTTTATAATGACCCTTTATCAGCTAGCAGTCGTTTTCTATCTATGGCCTTGAAAAATGGTATATCCTGAATAAACAGTTCTTCCTGGCATTTCTGGGTTTGCTGGTCACTCTCTTCAATGATCCAGTTTATATTATATCTTCTGTCCTTGAGGATATTGGGGATATGGACAGAAGTGGCAATGCGTCCTGCACCCAGAACTCCAACATTCAGGCGACGTTTCTTGTCAGTTTTTTCAACCACAGTAGAGAATAGCAAACTTTGGCATTTCTTTAAAGAAACAGAAAAAATCTATACCAATCATAATGTCCATTGCAGATTGTCAAACTAATAATTTTATTGATGTGGGTAATGAACACTAGACCTCTGAACCACAGTGCTCATCCATGCACCGTTCCTTTTATCCCCTGATATAATTAGGAACAAGGTGGAATCTGAGGATGCATGCATGACTTTACTTGAGTAAATGTATTTTACCTTTGCAATTATTGGAAGTTTACCCTAGCTGCTAGTGATTAATTATTAAAGAATGGTTGAAAAATATAACTCGGATGAGTGTTATTGCCCATGGGTCTCTTTTTAGCTCACCTGAGCTGAAAGCTCAAGTGACATTTTCTATCACATTTTGTCTGTCATCTGTCTGTAAATCTTTTCACATTTTTTACTTCTTCTCCAGAACTACAGAGCTAATTTCAACCAAACTTGCCACAAAGGATCCTTCGCTAAAGGGGATTCAAGTTTGTTCAAATGAATGTCATATCCTCTTTCAAGGGGAGATAATTAAGAATTAGTGAAAATTTGGTGGCATCTTTTAAAAATATTTTTCTCAAGAACCATTGGGCCAAAACAGTTGAAACTTATGTAAAACCTTCAATACATAGTGTAGATTCAAGTTTGTACAAATCATGTTCCCTAGGGGTAAGGTGGGGCCACATTGGGGGGGATCTTCTCAAGAACAGCAATGACATGATTAGTCATATTAATATGGAAGCATCGCCATGTAGTGTAGATTCAAGTTTGTTGATATCGTGACCTCCACGTGTAGGGTGGGGCCACAATATGGGTGATCCAGTTTTACATAGGAATACATAAACACTACAGGTAGTGTAGATTCAAGTTTGTTCAAAAGTAACCCCAGGGGTAGAATGGGGTCACATCTTTAAACATTATCTTATCAAGAACAACAAAGCCAAGATTAGTCATACATTTATAGATATGGAAGCAATTCGTCATATAGTGTAGATTCACTTAGTTTGTTCAAACTATAACACCTGGGGGTAGGTTGAAGTCATGCACAAAAGGGATCAAAGTTTTACATAGGAATATATAATAGATGCAGAACAACAGGGCCATATTGACTTGGCTGAGCATTGTGGCCCATGGGCCTCTTGTTTATTTTTATTTCAGACAAATATGTCTAAATATACAACAAGGGGATAGATATTTATGGTTTAAAAATGTCAAATGTTAAAAATGGTTCTTGTAAATATATAGATTAATTTTGTAATACTTTTTTAATTGACTTTTTTTGTTTGGAAATTAAATTTAAAGTATTTATAAATAACATCAGGTCTTGTCAATGGCCATTACAATTACATGGCATGTACTTATATATGCCTGTCCGTGGCACATGCTGATAGATTTGTTTACTTTGCCACCATATACATATATACTGTACCCAATATTCAGTTAACTGACCTGTTTAGTTAGTAGGTCAGTGATCTACATGACATTGTATCATTATCTCTCTACAGTTACAAAATCGGGAACACTGCATGGTAGTCTATTCTCTTTCGAGAAATAGACAGGCTTTTGCCATTCACAAAAGAGAACATGGTTGAGCGTTCTACTTCATTTTTCTGGGGTTTTTTTTATTCTGTAAATGTGAGCTTGACCTTCCACCCAAAACCAGATAAAACAGGTAAAATAAAGGTATAAAATTCCTGGTTGTTGGACTTTGAATACGCTGTCAAAATGAGGATCGATACAAAAACTCACCTTTGTCTTGCACAATAACCCAGACTCCTTGCACACTGTGGTTAGTCTTCTAATCATTTTGGGGAACTGTTATTTGCGAAGTCAAAGCAAATATTACTGAATGCCCCTCTGATTTTACTGTTGGAACATTCTTTTAACGGCGATGAAAGGTCACTCCAAGTTATGCGTGGGCGGATCCACTTTCTTTTTTGCTATTGTGGTTTCCATGTCTGATTAATTTTATAAATAGACCCACATGATAATATGCCTACTGCGTATTTATATTGCCCATGGACAACAATGCTCACCCGAGTACTTGAGCCATTGATTTCATTATTCCCATGAAAATTTAAACTTAACGCACAGGCGTCGGAAGCAAATTGAAAGGGGGGGGGGGGAGCTAATTAAAAGAGGAAAAAAATTCAAACCTGAAAAATCTTGACAACCAAAAAAAAAAAAAGAAAAATTGAAAATTATCCAAATCCGAAAATCCTATTTCGTGAGGGGGGGGGGGGTATCAAACTTCTTTCAGTGCCATTTTTTCATACGCTACCACTTACCCTAGATCTATATTATGTCTATCTTCGATTCCGAAGCCTATACATGCAATGTTATGGCCCATCACAGCCCCAAGAGGTCATGAATTGAATAACCATACCTGTATCCACACAGCATGGGGGATGCTTCAGTATTGTGACGCGAGGCGAACTCGTCGATTTTATAGGGAACGTGGTTTCTATTCTGAAAATTATTGAAAGTACTCGGCACTGAAGCACACAATGTATAAAAAAATCCCACTGAATTGGAAAATCCCAAGATATAAATATACCCATGTAATAATTTAATTAATCAAACAATATATACTAGTATATAAACCCTTGTGTAAATTGCTAGACCTTTACTTTTCCTTTGAGAAATAAAACCAAATGAAATTAAAAACAAGTAACCATGAAAAATTAAAATGAACACAATTAATCCCAACTTCTTTAATTCCAATATATGATTATATTTGCCTGTAACTCACCGATATCCAGAGAAAATAATTGCTATAAACCTAATAAAATGAATTAATTTATAATTAAGAAATGATTTTCACCGAACACCAGAACTCGCACGTGGTAAATATTTCGATGGGGGTCGGTGTTAATTTTGATTTCTTTGAAACGCGATTGATTAAAATTGTGTAATTTACAGGAAAGTAATAAAAGTAATAAAACAAATAGAAAGATCTTTTTAATTTGAATTAGTCTGAACTTAAAAAAAATACGCCACATATGACTATACATGTATTAAAACATTGCTGTGACGTCATGCCTTTGTTCTTACAGTCTAAAAATTTACCTGTAGCCGTCCGATAAATAATATATTATCGGACTGCAGTGATAACAAAATTGGACAGTAGTTAAAAAACAAAAACTAAAGTGAAATCAAGGTTTAATATGTCCAAAAACCAAAAAAAAGGTTAGGGAGAAAAAATTCAGAGAAAGCGAACGCGAGGAAATTAAGTTATTAAAAATAGCAAATCCAAGAAGAAGAAACTGGAGTTTTAACCTTCCTCAAAAGTAACACTTTCCATTCGGCTTTTTGCAAAGCGTTTTCGATACAGCACTGTGAATAAGCCAATTTAAATCCATTTCTGAAAAAGAATCAGTCTGCGAATCTCTTCATTTAACGTGGTTTGTTCGCCAATGACCGCACTTTTAAAACCAAAGATTTTCATTATATCATCCAATCAAAATTTTAGATAAAAATCCGCTTTTTTACTTTAAATGCATTTTGAAGATATCATCCAACACTGTATCTGTATCAATGTCAAACGCACTTAATAAAAAGAAATATTCCGAATCATAAAAAAAATCCTTCATAACCTGACCACTGTCCATAGTTCCTGCTAAGCCAAACGACTGCCATTGAATGAATGAATGAATGAAACAAAAGAGTTCACTCACTGGTTTTACTGTCTGAAGAAAAAAAAACTTTCTCTTTTATTTTGTCTACTTATTAGATGGTTTCAGGTAGAAAACTATTGATGTCTGAACTCCTATTGTATAATTACCGGACTCCTCCAAGTGAGTTTTGGACATTTAAATAACAATGTTTCAGTAAGATATATGCCTCCTACAATTCTATATGTAAAATTATCAGACTGTTTGAGGCCCTAACGGGCCTCAAACAGTCTGATAATTTTACATATAGAACAGTATTCGGGATATATCCATTACATACGCATGGTTGAATAAACCCTATCAGTCGCAGATCCAGGAATTTTTTCCAGGGGGTGTCATGCACTCCCGATAAAAATAATCTTGACAAGCAAACAAGGGGGGGGGGTTCCAAGGTCACTTTTAGTTGCTTTACTATATACATGTACATTTAATAACTTTGCAAATTCCGGGGGGGGGGGGGACCCCCGAACCTCATGTTTCTATAGTTAAATTGTCTTTGAACTGAGGTTATACAAGTTCAAAATCGGTGAAAATTTTAATTTGAATGTAAATATCTACACTAAATGTTTATCTATACTCAATCTCGTATTTTTTTATTTTTTAGCTCAGATACACCAGCTTCAGATAACAAAGCATGCAATATCATATATGAGCAGTGGCAGTTGGCAGTAAGCAGCTGGCAGTTGCAGAAAGCAGTGAGCAGTTGGCAGTAAGCAGTGAGCAGTTGGCAGTAAGCAGTTGGCTGTCGTATATGGAATTCCATAGGGCTGCAATGATGACATCGTTGATTTTTGGTTGTTTGTGTAAACCTAGAATCTTACGAAGTTTATTTCAGAGAAGCAGATATAATCTAAAAACTTTTCGGTTGTTTGTAAACTTTTTAATCTTATGAAGTTTATTTCAGAAATGCAGAAATAGTCTATCTTTGTGTTCAGTGAGGATGAAGAAAAAAAAGGAAAGCACTCCAAATTAATTAAATTTGGGAGAGGACCATCTAAGTTTTTAGAACTTGTGTTCAGTCCCTTTGACATATTGTCAATAAAATATGTTCAAAACAAACAAACAAACATTAATTAAATCGCATATTTTTGTTTAAAAAGCTTGATACATATATAAACAATCTTCAGCACTGACTCTTGCTGTCCATTGCAGTTTAATTAAGGAATAAGTGTCTAATTTTTTGGATTCATGATGTGATCAATCGAGTGGCTTGCGTGATAATTTGCATAAACGCCGAAGGCCAAAAAATCTGACAGTTATTCCTTATATTTACATGCTCCTGATTCTGCAAATTCCCGTGCTAATAGCCCCGCTTCTGTCTCTATTTGTCCCGCCCCGCACGTGATTTTTTTTTAACCGCGCCTCTCGATGAACCAGTAGATTTATGTAGAAATAAAGTATTTTTACAGTTTGTAATTTTATCTCGGACAAAGACATTGGAAATGTAAATATTATAATTTACACATGCCATTCAACAAACATTTTTTTTTTTAATTATTATTATTATATCATTATTGTTATTATTATTAATTTTTTTTAATACTCTTTTCCATAGATTATGTATCTGTTTATTTTACATGAGGCAGATGTGGATTTCTGTATATCCTTTAGCACCGACTCTTGCTTCCTCTTGTTGATGTATCAGACATTTTTTATGTGTTTAGTTATATGTATAATATTAGTAATAGTAATGCACATCATTGCACATTAAGTTGTATCAATTAAGAGTACAGATATATCTTAAATCAAGACAACCTATGTCTACATGTGAAACTCAAAACACCGACAATGTACTAAATGGGAAGAATTGCTCTTCATTATACATGTATGTTGTATTCTGTCTGTTATCTGTAATTATACATGTTATATGTTTATGCCCATTGGGCCCTGATTTGGTAATAAATCCTATTCTATTCTATTCTATAAACATTTTATTGCCTGTTTATATTTTTTTACCCGAAATAAAAATATTTTATTTAAATGATTAATGAAAATAAGAATAAAACATTTAACTTTGGCGAGGAAGTGAACTCTTAAAAATAGTATACTCAGGTCCCTGGTATACTTTAATTGTATCCTGTTACATATATTTAAATAGTTTGTTATTTGTATGTCTTGTTAATAAACATGTTCTTAATTTTGAATTTACCAGTGGGAGTAAATACAAAATTTAGAACAACTTGTCATGTTCTAAACTTTGTATTTACTTTGTGTTTACCCCCATCCGGTAAATTCAAAATTTAGAACATGACAGTGACACAAGTCATAGTGGAAAAAAAAGTGACGCATTTTGAGGTGCCGTCGATTTGATAACAATCGTGCTTCAATATAGGGAAATTCAATTAAACGATATTTGTTTTTATAAAGCATATTCAACAATTATTACAATACATTTTAAACAAATTAATAATTAAAAAAATAATAATAATAATCGGGAAAAATTTTCTCCTCTTGAAAAGTTCGAAAATTAGCGGCGTGTGAATGTTTCCGTATGCACAGTAGAGGTCTACCCAAAGGTAATAATTTGTAATTTTCGGTTTCATTTTCATATATATTGATTATAATATATTGAATATTATTTGGAGGTAAGTAAGTAGAGGTAATGAAAGGATTTAGCTGTCGCTAAAATTTGTAAGAGGTTTGATGAAGGCCAATAATGTTGTAAAGTGAACGTGGACACTCTGACACTAAACCCTCGACATCCTTTTCATTAGCACTTCCATATCGATGGGGTACTAGGGGCCTATAATCATGATAATACATGTATATACTTTGAAGGAGAGGATGGAACTCTCTCTTGGAGAAACTCGGTTTTAAGGGTTTTTTAACCAATTTTCTGTTAGCCAGAAAAATTACATTGCGGTCTATCCAGTTTGGAGGTTATAAAACATTTTCTATAATTAACAGATTAAGGAGGTTGGATCCTGGCCCCAAGACCATAAACTGAGAACAGACATAAGTCAAAATTTCAAACCAATATTACTTTTGAATTAATTTTGATAACGAAACAAAATTTTTATCATATATTTGAATTTAAAAGTTATATACAATTGCAAATTTTTAAGCAAATACATTAAATTAAACCAGGGACCTATATACTAACGGGATAGGCAACTCTCGCAAGTCTCGCGATATCTTGTAAGTTGTGGGATTTCGTAAGTCAATTTTAATAGCTGCAATAATGTAGCCCTCTCCCTTTTTTTTTTTTTTTTTCTTTGGGAGAGGGCTACAACTCCTTAGGATCTCCGTTATG